ATATATATATATATATATATATATATATATAACATACATAAATCCAAACATCTTAATATATGAATACCTAAACCGATTGTCCAGACTTAGAATAAATGTCAAGCTATGGCGGGTTTCACCCTACCACCCACACAAGGTTAGTTTATTATCGCGTCATAGGCCATATTGGAAGCACCTAGATAAAGACATTCTGCTACTCTCACCACATGCGTTAAACCTCTCTATGTGAAAATGTATGACCATTAGAGTGTTAAGAAAACTCCCAAGACTAAGCTACTTGCATTCATTCTAACATACTTGAACTAAACCAAGAAGTTTCACCTTGGAACTAACCATACAAACCTTGAAATCATATATATACATATGTCCAAACATTTCCATATTTGAATACCAACATATATCATCATTGATTGTGCATCAAAGTACTATAAACCACCAAAGAAGTCATCATAAAGAAATTAAAACAAAAGCATTGAAGCACATAGGGAGGCGCTCAGGCACCCAGAAGCTTGCGCTCAGTGCCCTAGCTTTTGTTTCCTCACACTCAGTGTCAAGAAGTTGGCGCTCAATGCCCTGGCCATTGGAATTGGGCACCCAGCACCTTGTTTGGGCGCTCAGGCTCTATCAGCAGAACTCTAACCTTTTTAGATTGTTTCTCCCACTTATCCCACAACTTCTAAAGATCCCTGAGACTTTCCAAACCTTGAGAAAAACCCTACTATAACTCAAATTAAACCCTTGAAACTCAATTTCACTCCTATAAGTTACCTAAACTCAATTTTAAACTTTTTATCCCCTATATCAGTTTACCAAATGCATAATAAAAAGTATAATTACACTAGATAACACAACACCTCCAATTGTCCACAGCTATTGTGTTTCAAGTTCTCACCCTATAAAACCTCTAATTTGTATTAAAACACCTAATAACTCACTTTAGACTGTTCCTAATAGTTTTACACTAGATTTTTCTCTTTTAACTACTTAGACAAGTCAATATATAGCTAATAACAGACTCTCAATGTCTCAAACCAATTTACAAACGTTACCTCAAAATTTCACTACTAAACACCTCGCTTTTCACACCAAAACACTACAAAACTCTCCAATGAACTTACCATATTGTTTCATAATAGATTTTTAGTCAAATAACACCTCAAACAAGTCCTAAATACTTCATAACAGCTCCTAGACAATTACTATCTCACCTCAACCTCTATTTCACAAACGCATCCATCAAAACCACTTTTTTTAGCATAAAAACTCAAGAATGTAACCACCACTCACTACGAACACTTAAATTCAATATTTCAACCACCAAACAACTTCATCACACCCAAACATGATAGTATCAAGCATCCAATCACACAATTCCAATTGTACTCAACATCATACTATCAAAATCATCAATTAAATATACATAGTATACATAAGATCATACCAACTTCTCAAAATCATCTATAATTCATAGAGATACCAAATTTATAATACAAATATAAACTAAAGCACAAATTCTAACTTCCCANCTTCAAGCTGCATCATGCTCTTGGAGATGGCTACTCCCTAATGGGTGCGCTTCTTTCTTGTCTTGAAAGAATCGATGACCCTTCTCTTCCACTAACTTTTCCTTCAAGAACATCATCAACTTCACAAGCTTCAAAGAAAAACGTGATTCAGAAGTTACCTTCTTTTGTCTCTTCCTTTTTTAGCTCCATGTCAGATTTTGGATCAAGCTTAGTGAAGACAAGAATGGTTGTAGATGACAAAACACCAGTAAGATCTGGATATGAAGGAACTGAGTCCATGCCTTTTGTCTTGTCAAGCATATCACTGTCTCTTGATCATTTCAAAGCAATCAAAACCAAGCTTGGAGTGGTAAGATTAGATCATTCAAAAGAAGTTCTTACTGGTTTCTTATATGACTAATGAATATGGTGATTGTCTGAAAAAGTTGATTTATTTATTTATTTTTGCATGCATGCAGACGATAAATGATGTGATTACTGGGATGATTTTCTATGGGATTCGATTGTACATGGAAGAGATTGAATACTTGGCTAGAAAAGCAAAATCGACTGCTGTGGTAATGCTGAACACAAGAAATGTTAAAGGGTACCAATCAGTGAAGGAGATGCAAAATTCAAAGGTGAAAGGTTTATGGGGAAACAAAATTTCTTTCCTACAAATACCTATTCCAAAGCTAAGTCAATCCAAAAGCTATAACCCTCTTGAGTTTGTTTGGAATGCCAGAAAACTTATAAAGAAGAAGAGACGTTCTTTCAGTGTTTATCTCATAGGTTTGCTCTTAGATTTGGAGATGAAACTAAAAGGCCCCGAGGTATGTAGCTGTTTAAATTTATAAAAATACTTTAGCCTTCTTTTCACTTCTTTTTAATTCATTTTATTAGTATATATACATTATATATATACATACATACATACATACATACATATATATATATATATATATATATATATATATATATATTTGAAAAAATAATATAATGATTAGAATGTGAGATTAAAGTAATTTGAACTAAAACTAAATTATAAATTTTGATTTATTACAAGGTGTGAAGTTGATTTTAAGCTTAATTAAAATTTTAGTATATATTTCTGTATTTTTAATTCACTTCTTATTAAACAAAATTAATTTATTCATTATTTAAAATTTTATATTTTTCAATTTAGTTTTTTTTTTCTAATATTTTCATTAATTAGATAAAATGGTTATTATTGTTACATCCCAAAAATATAGTTTTTAACTGTATAAACGAGTCATCACAATTTCAATATAACAAGAACAATTGACAAAGACAAGAAAAAATAAAGTAAGGTTTAGAGTCATCCAAAATAACTATAAAAGCCAACTTTGTACAAATTGGCTATACAAAACTATTAACAATATAACTATCTAATGCTACTACACATCAGTTGAAACGTAAAGATCACTTCGGTAGCTTTGGAATTGATTTGAACCCAAAAACCCGAAAACTGTATAATGCTGAGATTAAAGATTCAGTCGAACCAAAGCTATTATTAGGAGAGTTCTAAAAAATTCAACTTCATCAAACATAGAAGAAAGCATTACGTAAAGACAATCAAGAACAACAATAAAGCAAGTAAAAAGGAAAATAAACAGTGCAGAATGAAAATAGATTGAATCTGGAAATTAAAGATTGAAGAAAGGATTAGAACAAGGGAAGCAAAATTGAATTACTGAAGGGTTATACAGCTGCACGCATCAGTTTCCATCTCTTGTCATTACTTTGCATGCCAAGAACTCTGAACCAAAAATTCGACTTTGCAGAGAAGAAAAAGAGATGGCGTAAGCTTCAAGGTCTGGAAAAAAGCTATTAAATATCTGGCTCATCCATTTCTATATCTCTCTCTTACTGCCCTTCTTGATGCTAAAGCTAAATAAGACTCTGAAAACTAAAAAAATACAGGTTGTACAGCTTATTTACTTAGACCAAAACTGTCTTGGCCGAACTCAGCATTACAAGGCTGACTTTTACAGAACCAAGCTTCCAAATGCAGTGCAACAAGCTGCAAAAGATCACACAGCTCTGACTTGGACTCCTCAGCCCATCACACCTTCAAAGGCAGCTTTACTCGTGTCCATATGCGTTATTCAGGTTCATGAGAAGTTCAGCTTCTCCAAACACCTTCAAACTTGGTCTTGAACTGTCTTGTGCACCAACTCTGCTGCATTAAGAGTAGCCCACCTCTAAGACAGTGGAATGTTGTTATGAATCCAAGTTAGCAACATCAAAACTCAGAAACACCACTGCACTAAGAATCTATAACTGAGAAATGTTAGAGCTAGCTCTATAGAAAACAGGAATGGGACTTCTACAAAGCATTCATAAGACCAAAAAGAATATCTAACCAAAAACCAATTTTAACAAACACTGTATAACAAGTTGTTACAAAAACACAAATTTTCCTACCAAAAACTAACTCTGAACTAAAAAGAAGTACTTATTAACACAAAAACAAATGCCCAAAGGAGTGCTACTAATACCAAAACTAGACAAATAGGGGACACTTAACACATCCCCACACTTAAAACTTTGCATTAGTGGGACAAACTACAAAGAAGTAACAACACAAAGCAAAAATTCATATTACAGCTAGGACACAGAATAAAAAAAACTTTTAATGCATAGCTGGAAATCCGTGAGCATCCAGAGGAATCTGCCAAACAACACTTGAACCTCTAACCAAGTCAGAATTTGCTAAAATAAGGCAAATACATTAAGAATTGATCAAACTAAACTCTAGAAACAGAACTGACCCCACTGGATAGTGTTTACCCTCATGCTCTCATGTGTGTTTGGGTTAATATTGTACTTCAGCACATCAGGAGCACCAACATTGTCATTAGGCTGGAAAATCTCTAAAATCAATCACCATGTTAGAACAGTGCACTCATGATCAACAGGTCTTTACAAAGCTTGTAATGTGGCTCGGGTAGGGGTAGGATAGAGGAAAGGTTACAGAGCTAAAACCAAGGAAATATGAGGCAGCCATCGGGAAAATCTAGAACACACGTGTGAGTTCAGTAGCTTCATCACAAGTCAGACCTTCACATCACTTTGTTTTTTATTTACTTGCCACTTTCTGTTTTTTTAACTATTTATTCTTTCTTTCCAATCATAGACAACAACTGTTCAGATTTTCTTTTATTTTTTTTTTTTGTTTTTTTCTCAGTTCAAATTCTTTTACATTCTGATAAAGATTTTGCCTTTGATTCAAAACGTTTTGCCACACTTCCCCAACTTGAGTTTCAGAATTTTCCAAGTACTTTCACAGCCCCTCACAAATCCATAGGTCAGGTGATTCATTGATTTCGGTCTAAGGGTTTGTAGTGACTAGAAATCAAAGGTAGAAACTGGGGTGGGTGCAGTGGGAAAAATCTGATCACGGTAGGGCTATTTTGAGAGTGAGTAAAAAAACAAGGAATGGTTATATTAATGTCAGAATGCATCATACAAACTAGCAGATCAACAAGAGATGCATACAAGTCTGGAATGTTAGTATCCTACGTTGCAATCACACCCAACAAAAACAAAAGGTGCAAAAACTCACTTTAGTTTCAATATGTCAGAACTGATTCAGAACTGTTATCAAATAATTATGCATTTACCTCAAACAAAACTATTTCTAAACAGTCAAACAATTCTAATAGCGTTGCAGATCAAAGAAATCTGGAAAATCAGCAAAAAACAGTAAAAAGATTAATTCTAAACAGCTTTGTCAAAGGTTTTCAAAGAAACTAAAACAGAAACTAGCTAAAAAAAATTCAGCAAACACTGAAAAACATTCATATGAAACTACCTGACACTATAAAAAAAATGTCCTTAAAAATCTAAAAAAGAGCAAATGTATCATGCAGAAACTAAGAGCAAAAGTGAAAAAAAAAAAAAGTTCTCGGAAATTTTCAGCTCTCTCCTCACACTTGAAACACCACGTTATCCTCAATTTGTAAGGGAGTGAAACTGATTCAGCAAAGTTAAGCAGAAAACGAAAGGCCAAATGTTCTGAGATAAAAGAAAGTAAAGTGTAAAGGAGGAGTAAGCTCAGTTTAGAGGGATTTCAATCACTGGTTCTGCGCCCCCCTTTGGATTGATCAAGGCTGTGCAGGTATTGCACCAGACTTCTGCTGCACTAGCTCATTGATAGCAGCAACCAGTTGAACCAATTTGTGTTTTCAAGTCTTGAATAGTGGCTTCCATTGTAGGGTCTGATCTCACATGTGTCTGCCCATTCAGTGGTGTGCATTGTCTATGGTGAGGTGTACCCTCTGTTCTGGTTAGCTTATTGGACGACTTAGGCTGTTGTGTTGCTGGGACTGATTCTGTGGTGGTCTCCATATCTCAGGATTTGGGTTGGTTGCCCTGCCATTGATTATACGTATTTGAAAATGGGTTGTTGTAGGACCTGATGTTCTGACTTTGATTGGTCCAGCTGTTTGTTGTGGTCTAAAAAACGTCTGTGGGCCTGGAATTTCCGCCTACTTAAACTCATGCAAAATTGGAGTTTAATTGAGCAAATGCAAAATGTAAAAAGTGTACAAGGATCCTACTAACTTAATGGAATTGAAACATTAACAGACAAAAATGCAGAATTAAAAATCCCAATTCTAACCTAGCCTAGAAAATTGAATAAACTAACTAAACTGTAAAAACAGCAAACATGCATTGGAACAAATTTCAATTGATTAAAGGACAATATTAAACATACAAACAGAAGTAAAACAAGTGCTAAAACGTAAATGGAAGTTCAGAAGTGGAATTGTAAAGGAACAGTAAATCAAAGCAAGGAAACTATCTACACCAGAAAACACTCCCCAATGATTCATATGGTTCTGCTTTTGATTGCCAAGGATTCATTCTGATTCCTGGGAGTATAAGTGGTCACTTTGTACTCACAAAGCCTCAGCATTAGTGGGTTACAAAAGTAGAATTCGTAAGACAGAATCTAAAAGCAGAAAACAGTAGATTAATTGGTAAAAGATTTCAAGAAAGGTATATTTGCATTGAAAGCTAATTGCAATTTGAAGAAAAATAGCGCGGGTAGTTAGTTGGTTTTTAGTAGAACAAAGAACATGAAAAAAAAGAAAACTAAAACAAAAAACCAAACTAAAAAACAAACTAACCTACGAAACTTGATTGTCCAACTCATTTTGCAGTCAAGACAAACTTGCACTTCAAAGAAACTCTACTCTACTTGCTCTAAATGTAAGTGTTTACACTGATAACTCAGCAATTGAAAAGCTCTTTCTAATTTTCTGGACTTAGCTCTCTACTATATCTAGCCTAAGAAATGGAACTACAAACTGTTAAAACTGTCTACAAAAGTCATGTTAACTTCCAATTACAAGTTAGATTATTTGCAAAACTGTTCCAGCCAGTGCAAATGCCGTATCCAGCTTCTTCAAGTAGCCAGTCCTCCAAGTCAGTGCATCTTCATCCAACAGGGATACATATTCACTAGTGCAGGTCACCGTTCTCTCTCCAATCTATCCAGTTAAGTTCCTACTGATGGCAGCAGGTTGCTTCAACACGCTTTAGGACCAGTTCCAGACAGGTCTCTTGCGCAGTTCAGCTTCCTTGCAAACCTTTCAACTCATCACTGCCTTGAGGCTTAGTCACGTTGAAGCTGCAGCGTGATTTAACGTTGGCAGCTTCTTCATCATGTTTTCACGCGCTTTTATAAATGGATTTGGTTCTTCAATGATACAGGGAAATCACAAGCTGGACTTCCTCTCAAGTGAACTGTAGAAGCACATAACAGTACCTAGAAACACTATTTAGAGGGCTGAATTACTCATTAAAAATCAAATTAGAAACTGGCTTAGACTAATCAAAGTGACTAAAACAGAAATTAACTAAAGCACAACTAAAATCTACTCTAGAAATAGGAATCAAAGCTAAAATCTATTATTTACTAGACTAGAAATTAACTAAAATCAGAACTAAACTAAAATTATAGTTAAAAACATTTTATAACACTTATCTTTGTAAAAACAAGGAAATTTATTTTAAAAACCAAATCTGTTCTAAAAATAGAAAATTAAGACTAAAACATACCAAAAAGAAGTGCTACTTCAAAACACAACAAATTAGAGATTTTACATGCTTCCTATGCTATCTTTGATATTTGATAAGATAGTGTCCTCTTCCTTCCTTTCTTTTCTTTTCTGGTTGGTTTATTTACCCATTTTGTTTGAGAAACTATGTCCACGGCGTATAGAGGTGACGAGTAGTTTCCAAGACCTATAATCTTCATTGCATTTATAAATGTCTGAATCTGGTTGAAACCCTGTCCACAGATAAGTATAACTAGTTGGGGTTGGCTGTTTTCACTTGTTTTCTTCCCATCAATCCTCATATCTCTACTTGCAACATTATTATACTGTCTACAGTGAAATATTTTTTTCATATTCCTTTTTTTATTGTTTTGATTACCTGTAGTCTTTAGCGTTTTTACGGAACTTTCAATATGACAATGACACGTTTTAGAGATTTATGTTGATGTCAGATCTTCTGAATTGTTGAGAATGATTGTTGGTTAGACATACTAAAAGAGCCTCAATTAGAAACCATTATTTTCATTGTTGTCTCACATACATATTCATCATTTTCTTGCAGTCCAGACGCCCCACATGCTTTTTACAGGTCTTGAAGATTACAAGGCCAGGGGAACACAAGCATCACCCTATTTTACTGTCTCCTTTTACACTGAATTTGCAGAGAGCAAGGATCTGGTACTGATCCGTGGGGATGTCGTATTTACCAGCAAGCTTACTGATTCAGAGGCAGAATGGCTTTTGGAAACTGCTCAGTCTTTTTATTTGAATGATGCAAGGTACAAGCTGGTTGAGAGGTTCAACAAAGAGACACGTGATTTTGAGTTCAAAGATGTCTTGCAAATACTGAACATGCCTATTTTGTAACCTTTTTTGAATTGAACAACTGCTAAACTAACAGCGTGCAGAAGGGAGGAATTGGATCGGATGAAATTGCAAACGAAAGGATAGGAAGAACAGTACCTTTTTCATTATTTAGTCATATTCTTTTTGCACAAGGAAGAGTGGTCTTGGGACTGAGCTCCTCTTATATTGTTAGTCCTTAGATTCAGTCTTTGTTTTCTTTTGCCTGCTGATTCAAATAAATTAGATCTTGTATTGGACTCACTGCTTCAAAAAACATTTACAAACAAACAGGTAAAAATAGAAAAAGAAGTTTTGTTTTTGTCAGTTTGTATTTGATACATATATTTCAGGCATTTTCACAGGGGTCATGGACTTAACACCTCCCTCAAAGCAACATAAAACTACAGAGGAAGATTTTAAAGTACTGTTGGAATGGATGTTACCATTGCAATTAAACACCCTAATTTCTTTTAAATTGCTGCATTGGAAACTCAATTATAGTTTCAACCATAAATTGCATCTGTCCATAATTGTAACTATAACACGCCGTTCATTGATAAGATTATAATTTGAGTTCACATTCCACTCATAAATGGTGGTAACTTCAATTTGATGTTCTGTGCTTATAGCCATGACAATGACACACAGAAAGTATCTCACCAGAGACAGAAAATATTTTCTCGCTATTTATACTGGTGAATGCATTAAATGAAATGTGTTGTTAGAGATTTGACTTGTGTACACGTCCCACTGATTTGATTGTGAAATTAATAAATTATTGGTTATGCAAATTATTATTGCATGTAAACTTTTCCTTCATAACTACATTTTATTCAACAAGAGAATATAGTATATATATATATATATATGATATATAATATAATCTATATGCCATTGGAAAACTGTGGAGAGAACTAGAAGATATGTTCTATTAGAGATAATCAATTTCAACTTAAACATTATATAATATTTCGAAGGAAAAAGGGATATATAGTATCCTGATAGATAGAAAAACGTAGGAAAATTTAAGTTTCTCTTCTGAGAAATCCTTACAAGCACTTTCTAAATGATTTTTCAGTAATTAATTTGTGAAATGTACTTTTAATTATTTTTAAAAACTATGATTTTTAACCAATATAAAATAATTTAGTTATGGAAGAATCAATTTTAATTTTTACTTTTTTTTAATCTTTTCCTCCATACATAGGACTTGACGCAAATAAATTTAATTGTGAAAATAAAACATAATTTCACACCGAAATAAATTATGAGATAACGTGGCAAGATTTTTGTAAAATTCAAGAAGAACCACATTTGAATGGTTCCAATGGATTTCTATATCTTCATTGCCTTTTAATAGCATTCCTATTCAACTTTCATAAAAAGAAAGGGAGATCAAATGGTTTACAAACTAAAATTCCTTATTAGCATTCATATTTCACTTTCATAAAAAGAAAGGGAAGATTCAATGTTTTAAAAACTAAGGTTCAATAAATCAGCAGCTACATGCTTTAATGAATGTTTGACTCATTGTGCAATGACAATGTCACAAATATATTTGTCTCAATTATTTGTTATTGGGTGTTTGAGAAATCTCCATGGCAGCTTTGAATATCACATCAAAGGCTTTCTCTATGGCAAAACTTGAACTTCTGTTCATCAATGAATCCCTTTAGTGTTCTGAAGGTGATTCTCAACACTTTCACATAGGCTCATAATAGTTATGTCTATATTCTGTCAACACACAAAAAAACATGTTACAACCTAAAAAGTTAGGTTGACGGATTTAGTAACTTTTTTCGAAAAAAAATCACGTAATTTTAGTGTAACTTTATTATTATTTTTAATTGTTTTTTGAAATATTTTTCACTTAACATATGAAAATATTACTTAAAGGGACGTGAAAGAAAAAAAATAAAAATCTCAAAATCCGTTGCAAAAAATTAATGATTTTGATGTATTTTTTTTATGTAAATGAATTAAGCAATGATAGAATAAGATACATTTGCATTCATTTGAAATACATTATAAAAGTAAAAATACATTATAAAAGTAAAATGATTATAAAAAAATAAAAAAAGTGAATTTTCATAATTTTTACAAAAAGAAATAGAAAAGAAGAAGAATGTCTTATGTGTCAAAATTTCTCGAATGAATTTAAGTCTAAAAAAGAAAAGAGTAGTTGAATAAATACCTCAGGTCCACCAGTCATAGTGAAATATAAACCACTTATGGGATGATTTGCCAGAGCCATTTCCAATGGCCCAAAAATGTTTGATACAACAACACTGCAGTTTCCTAGAGTCTGTAGATGATTTTTAGCCACAGCCTAAGGACACCAACATAAATTATCAGAGCAGTTCAAAAGAATATAGCAGACACGTTTCATGCTAATAATTAAGGCTGATTCTTCATGATATAATATACGGCTTGTTTTTAGGGTATAGTTTATACAAATTGAGAAATGATTTTGATGTGAAATAGTTAAGTAATTAAATAATATAAACTGATTTGTATTTGTTTCACACACATTTTTTCCCCGAAATAAAAGTCATTTACTTTATTGGTAGTTATTCAACCTAGCTTCAAATTTTAATAAGGTTTTATGTTTTCTTTAGTTTATGATTATTTTGGAAAACAAGAAATATATATTATTTTTTAAAGAAAGGATTCATTCTCTTTAAAAAGCATGTAACACCTAATTAAATTTTGATATTATTTCTCTAGTCTCTATTGAATTTATTTGGTTTATTGAATATTATTATTTTTATTTTGAATTGAGTATTTATTGTTTAATTTTATTTTTACATTAAATGGATGACATGATTATTATTTTATCTTGTCATTTTGGTTTACTTGTTTTCATGTGATTAAAAATGCAATATTTTTGTAATTAATAAAATAATATCATGATTAATGTAAAATAACAAATGTTTTTTATTATTTTTATTAAAAATATATTTAATAATAAAAGCATACTATTCAATAACATTTATATACATTTACCAATGATCAAGAGATATCCTGATCATTACTATTAATGCAAGTGACTCCAACAATCTCTTGTTATTCTTTTTTATTTTCAACAAAATAGTAAAAGTTAGTTGTTTTGAAATCACTATATCGTAGTGTATAAACACAATTTTTTTTTCTTAATACATGGAAACAACTATTCAAAATGACATGATAAGATAATTGTAAGAACCTAAAAAAACAGGGTATCAGAGTTAGTAGATATTTTAAAATAATGAGATCGATTATTTTATTTTAAAATAATTAAATAATATAAATAGTATTTTCTAAACTCGTCTTATTACTTAAAACACGGTCTATCTCTGTAAAATTCTTTCTCTTTTCTTTCTCTCACATCTCTTTAAGATTTATCATCGATTGATCATCTGTTTGATGATCAAGAAGTTTTCAGGATATCACAATTGAGTTATCTTCACATCTAGCTGATCAATTTCAAGAATAGAGCAAGTAAGTTTCTATCCTTGTTTCTGCCTATTCTCAGTTTGTGATTTTGTCCAAGAATCACTCCTTGCATGTAGTATATATGTTTCTTCCTTGATTGTTTGGTAAATCGAGGTCCTAAGGACTCCTTTTGTCTCCAATTCGATGTTTCGTAGGTTCCCCTAGAAAATCCTTACATTTCAAGCAATCAGTGGAACGTTCTTAAAGTCAGTCGGTTTCTTGTGAGGTATGGGAAGTTAGAATTTGTGCTTTAGTTTATATTGTATTATAAATTGGTATCTCTATGAATTTATAGATGATTTTGAGAAGTTGGTTATGATCTTATGTATACTATGTATATTTAATTGATGATTTTGATAGTATGATGTTGAGTACAATTGGAATTGTGTGATTGGATGCTTGATACTATCATGTTTGGGTGTGATGAAGTTTTTGGTGGTTGAAATATTGAATTTAAGTGTTCGTAGTGAGTGGTGGTTACATTCTTGAGTTTTTATGCTAAAAAAAGTGGTTTTGATGGATGCGTTTGTGAAATAGAGGTTGAGGTGAGATAGTAATTGTCTAGGAGCTGTTATGAAGTATTTAGGACTTGTTTGAGGTGTTATTTGACTAAAAATCTATTATGAAACAATATGGTAAGTTCATTGGAGAGTTTTGTAGTGTTTTGGTGTGAAAAGCGAGGTGTTTAGTAGTGAAATTTTGAGGTAACGTTTGTAAATTGGTTTGAGACATTGAGAGTCTGTTATTAGCTATATATTGACTTGTCTAAGTAGTTAAAAGAGAAAAATCTAGTGTAAAACTATTAGGAACAGTCTAAAGTGAGTTATTAGGTGTTTTAATACAAATTAGAGGTTTTATAGGGTGAGAACTTGAAACACAATAGCTGTGGACAATTGGAGGTGTTGTGTTATCTAGTGTAATTATACTTTTTATTATGCATTTGGTAAACTGATATAGGGGATAAAAAGTTTAAAATTGAGTTTAGGTAACTTATAGGAGTGAAATTGAGTTTCAAGGGTTTAATTTGAGTTATAGTAGGGTTTTTCTCAAGGTTTGGAAAGTCTCAGGGATCTTTAGAAGTTGTGGGATAAGTGGGAGAAACAATCTAAAAAGGTTAGAGTTCTGCTGATAGAGCCTGAGCGCCCAAACAAGGTGCTGGGTGCCCAATTCCAATGGCCAGGGCATTGAGCGCCAACTTCTTGACACTGAGTGTGAGGAAACAAAAGCTAGGGCACTGAGCGCAAGCTTCTGGGTGCCTGAGCGCCTCCCTATGTGCTTCAATGCTTTTGTTTTAATTTCTTTATGATGACTTCTTTGGTGGTTTATAGTACTTTGATGCACAATCAATGATGATATATGTTGGTATTCAAATATGGAAATGTTTGGACATATGTATATATATGATTTCAAGGTTTGTATGGTTAGTTCCAAGGTGAAACTTCTTGGTTTAGTTCAAGTATGTTAGAATGAATGCAAGTAGCTTAGTCTTGGGAGTTTTCTTAACACTCTAATGGTCATACATTTTCACATAGAGAGGTTTAACGCATGTGGTGAGAGTAGCAGAATGTCTTTATCTAGGTGCTTCCAATATGGCCTATGACGCGATAATAAACTAACCTTGTGTGGGTGGTAGGGTGAAACCCGCCATAGCTTGACATTTATTCTAAGTCTGGACAATCGGTTTAGGTATTCATATATTAAGATGTTTGGAGTTTAGTATGTTTATATAATATATTATATTAGATATTATATATATTATATAGATATATATATGTTATAAATGATATATGACTTGTTTTGGACTGCTTGACCCTGGTGCTGTGTTTCTGTTGTTGTTTGTGTCTCCTTCTTTGCTATGTCATCAAAATGGGTTGTTGTTGATTAGAGAGGATGAAGTTTCTTGGAGCAGGACACTAGACGGAGACC